ACTGGTTACTCAGAGCAGAACTTCTAACAACATTCTGTGATTTTGAATTTCTATCTTGAAGAATTAAAATCCTTTGAATCAGAAAATGTGAAAATACTAAATCATTCACTACTCTTAAGAAAAGGGGGGAGCTACAGTATATGTGACTGCATTAAAAACAAAAAACAGAAAAACCCCTTTAGTTAATAAAGTGAGACAGGACACTCCCCATCCTACAATGCAAGTCAGAATTTTTCTCAAGTGAAAACCAGAGAGAGAAAAACACTTAAAAGTAAAATAAAATAATAATAATAATAATAATAAAAAGCAAAGCTTCCTAACAGTGTTTTATCTCCTTGTTTCTAATGCAAACTGTTGACACTTTTCAGAAAGTGGTGGTCAGTGAGGACTTTTCATCTTTTGGATTTGAACCCTCTCTCCATTTGCATTTTCGAACCAAATGACAAAAAAGGGATTTTGTTTTCTGGTTAGATGGCTTATTTGCTTTAAAATGAATGTACATTTGGCAGAAGAAAAGATGAGTATTTGTAATTTTCTGAAGGAGTTTGAATGGACAAGCAAGAACCTAGATTACAGTGGTTGAGGAAGGATGAGAAGAAAAGGAAGAGATAACACTTGAGATGAATACTCTTGTCAAGATTTTCTCTTGTGATAGAAAGAGCAAGAATAGTAACCAGATGCAGACACAGGAGTCACAAGGTAGAGCTGAGTTGCTAAAATGTGAACAAGTTCATATGTTGAGAAGGATGAACCAGCAAAGAGAAAGTTTGAAAACAAATGAGAAAGAGAAGATAATTGACTGAAGAGTATTCCCAATAAGTCAAATTGAGTGACTGGACTGCAGATGGAGGAATTAGCTTCTTCCCTGGACACAGGAACTTTTGAGCTGGTACAGATAAAGCAAGATGTACAGACTAGGGAATGATGTGTGATGATTCAGATGTGGATACTTTACTTTTTAAGTAGGAGACAAGGTGATTTACTGAAAGATGGGCAAAAGGGTGGTGAAGTAGGAATCTTGAAAAGAGCAGTGGAAGTTTGGATAGTTTGCTCAAGGAAATCAAAGCAAAAGCCAACAATATTCTTAGCAAAGACTACCCCTCAAACTACCATAACACTGTGGGGATCCACAATGAGGTCTCTCTGAAAATCCTCTCCCTGAAGAGAGTTCAGGCCCCCTTCTTGGCCCTTCCGTTATCCTTAGACACATTGTCTGTAACTCATCACCAGGAGGCAGACTCTGGTGACTTCTACAGACTCCCCCTCCACAGAGAAGGAGTTTATTTATTTTTAGTTCCAATGACTCGGGTTCTGCAATTTAAGCAACAGTGCAGGCCCATATAACCTTATGTGCCAGAAATACTGCTCTTTCCCAGACCATGCAGAGTCCTTGAGTGTGTTGAAATCTGAGGTATTTCTCTCCAAATGAAGCAGGATGCAGTTTAAATCGCAATGATCATGACTTTAGGATTTTTCTTTAGGGTTATAGTAGAATATGTTTATTGAGCCCTGAATTCTGGAAAATCAATTCTTTTTCTCTAGAACTTTCAGATATTTCTCATTCTTGTGTCTACAACACTTTTTTTTTTTCAGAGCCCAGTGTGGGTAGGCATTTATATATTTCAGTGAAAATTGGGAGATTATCACTGGGCTCTCTATTACATATAGTAAGAACCTATTTCTCCTATCTTGATTTAGCTTCTTCATGACATGAGCTGTAGCCAGAAATGAAGCTTATGCTTTTCAATATTTCTGGTGCCTAAAACAGTGTCTGGTATATAACAACACTGAACAAGAGATGTTAAATTAATGAATAAATCAATTAATGATTGAGAAAAGTACATAATGTATCTTAACATTTTTACCTTTCCCAGTAAGTGCACGCTCTTTATTTTAAATATTTTATTTTGGTTTGACAGTTTTTAAAATGCTAACTCTGTTTAGCGTCTGTACCAATGACAAAAGGATTATTCACAAAGATTCGAGTACTAAGAGGAGCGAGAATAAAGCAAAGCTTTATTGAAAACCATATTTACTAGAAGTATTGATTTTCCTCCATGGGAAAAACAATTTACCCTCTTCTAGTGATAAATGTGTGAACCAAGAAATACAAGCATAGAAATAAAAAAAGATAATATCTCCTTTACAACTATTTTCTAGTTTGTTGTTAGAAGTTGTAAGAATACACAGGAATACAATATTCACTTAGAAATAAGTTCTTAGTCATTTTTAAATAGATTAAAACAGAAGAAAGAATAAGAAAATGAGTACTCTAATTTCTTGAAAGGAGAATAGTACACTATATAGATGGAATAAAGGATTGTTAATGACATCGAGAAGTCAGCAGTCTATGGCCATGCCACCCTGAACGTGTCCTATCTCGTCCAGGATCGGGCCTGGTTAGTACTTGGATGGGAGACCACTTAGGAATACCAAGTGCTATACGCATTTAAAAAAGAAGAAGAAGAAGAAGTCAGGAAATGTAGCCCATCACCAGAAGGATACTATTAATGTCCAAATGACTTGTTTTCTTTTGTGCAGCAAAATTCATCAGATTTATCCACCAAACCCCAATTCCCAAAATCTTTCAACCCATTGCAACACAAAGGTGAGTTACAATAAACCAAAGGTAGGAAGAGAGAATATGAATATGTCACATTGTCACTATTGGGGCTGATCGGAGTTTAGTGTTTCCCCAACAGTAGTGGGTAAGGAGAGGGATAATGATGGCGCAGACCTGTAGTTAGCATTTTTCCTCGGTTCTTCCTCAAATGACAGCAGTGAAGAATCACAGGTCATTAAGATTTAATAGTTTTATTAAAAGCATATTTTGGAAAGACAAAGAATGCCCTAAGGAGGCCCATGGAGAAAGACAAAACATGTCCTGAGGAGGCCATGGTCCCAGAGCTATAACCAAGACAAAGGGGCCAAAATGGCTACAAAAGGGCAAAAAAGGGAAGGGAGAGCCCAGAAGGGCAAAAAGGGCCCAGAAGTGGGAATATCTGTCTTATATCTGGGCCGTGATCAGTGTTTCCAAAGGCATTCTTAGGTGATTGGCAAGTGAGGTCATTTTGACTGACATCTGATTGACACTAGGCAATAACTTTGCCTAGTGTTCATGTGTGTACCCAGAACTCAGTCTGTTATAATTAGATTCATGAACTTCCAGGCATAGACATGATATTATAATGATGGTATAATGAGGCTGAAGTTATGGGCAGTACTTTTTGCACATACGTTTGTAGCTGGTTTAGGCCAGCAGCTTTTATGGCCTTTGTACTCTAGATTTTGGGGTAATTTATGACCCTAAAAGGGAGGTATTTCTGGGAGGTCCTTAAGGAAAGTATTCAAGGGAAGTTTCTGTGGTTACAGAGCTGGGCCTTTATTCCTTTGTTCTCCTGTTGCTCATGTCTGACTAGCTACCTAACAATTAGACTAATATCAATTGTGTCCTTATTAAAGAATTGGCTCCTCTTGTGCCAGCTGCTGAGCAGTGGACATGGGCCAGGAGCTTGTGCCTAATGTTGGACATATCATCCTCCCTAAAGGGTTCTTGGAAATGGAGGAGCCACCATCTACTACTGGTGAGAGAGCACTGACCTCTCTGCCTATGACATGCATTGTTCCTTTGCTCTAAGTTGGCTGTTGCTAAAGTCTGTGATATTCAGTTCCTAGAAGACTGATATTTAAGCACTGTAAATAGTTTCAATATTCCTAGAGGAGAAGGGTACACGCAGCATCGAGGTTGAGGAAGAGATATTGCATTACAAGTTAAGCTGAAGTCCTACTTAAGTTCCTGTGTCCCATTTTACGTTAAATTACGTTTATACCTTATTTAGGAAAAGAAATGGGCAACTCACTTTAGATTCCAATCAAAATTATTTGAATTCCAAATAAAATTCACGTGCCTAAACTTGAAAAGACATGTCTCTCCCCAAATGTTTAACGTGCTGATCCAGAAGCCCTGGGTTCTGTTATCATCTCCACAAACCAGCCTGACTGCTTTTTACAAACCCCTTTTCCTTTCTGGATTTTTTTCCTCATCGGTAAAATGAAAACCTGAGAGATCACTAAGGTTTCCATCCAGCAATAACATTCTGTGATCTCAAATCTACTGTATTTCATCTCCCAGCAATATATGAAAAATATGGTGCTTCTCTTCTCAAATAAGAAATGTCTGACGAATGCAAGTTTCTATGGCACTGATGAAATGCCATTCCTGTTGACCACTTTCT